CTTTGGCTGAAGGATGACTATAGTCATCTCAGTGGTGTTTGGAACAATCTCTCAAACAACTGAATCTAATTTTCTATCTTCAAGTTAATTACCTTCAATCGATAAACCCAAGTCTTAGGCCTACTTTATTGACTGTGATTTTGTTGTTGCAGCAATTACTCAACTATTTCACATACAAAGCAGTGAGGACTGTTCTTAATCAGCTCTATGAGATGAATCCACCACAATATACATGGTTCTATCAGTAAGTGGCATCTCTGCTTAAGGCCAATGTTTTTATAAAAATAGTTTCTGATTGCCCTGTTGCATTCTGTGTTTTTAGCCTAACTGCACTATAAGTATGGGGGTTTATGAAATAGAAGCTTTTCAAATGATAATGGGCATCAACTTTTGATTTTTCTGCTATTAAGTTATGTTGCACTCTTCATTTTGGACATAAAGAAAGCTGTCTAATTAAATTGTTTTGATTTTTCTTGTATTAAGTTATGTTGCGCTCTTCATTTTGGCAGGTTTGCTGCAACAAATAAGCCCAGTGATGGCAAGCGTTTCCTATGCATCCTTGGGAAGGTAGTTTTAAGAGTCTTTTCTGGTCTATCTTTTTTTTTTGTTTCAGCAGAAATTGTAGGTTAAGAAATTTTTCACTCTTTTGGACAATATGAGCAAATTCATTGTGAGGTTTGAGAAACCTAAATGGCATAGAACCTGAAACTTGATATATTCCTTTTTTTCTTGATTCCTTTTATTAAGGGTGTAAACAACAGAAAGAAACGGTTTTTGTGAACAAGTTCAGTTTTTGTTCGTTTATATCTATTTATTAAATTTAATAAATGATCACGGATAATATTTTAAAATTCGTTAATTAAATGAATAGATCATGAAGATAGTAAAATTCGATCATGTTCAATTCATTTACAACTATAATTTTAAGTGTTAGAATGACAACTATAACCTATATAATATCAAACTAACTAACCTCATGTAAACCAGTGTATTTGATGTAAAATACAAAAGGAAAAAAAAAAAGACAAATGAGGTTATTCATCTTGGCACTGACAGGAGAAGCAAGAGCTTGCTGAAAGGGTGATGATAACACGGCTTCATTTGTATGGGAAATGGGTTAAGGTAATGAAAATATCTCTTACTAGAAGGTTTTAATTGATTGTTTCTTTAACAATTGATGCAAAAAAAGCTGAACAAATGGAAATACATATATTCTGACCCTGTCTGTTATGTTGGTACAGAAATGTGATCATGCTCAAATATACAAAGAGATTTCGGATGAAAACTTGGAACTGATGCGCGAACGGCTCATAGAGACTGTGGTTTGGCCCTCAGATGACACAAACACAGAGAAGATTGGCTGAGGGGAAGCAATTCTATCTGATTTTTTTTTTCTTTCTTCTCTTGATATTAGCCTTAGATATCCTTTCTATAGAATCAACAAATTAATTTGGTCCCAAATAAATGCTGTTCCTTTAATATTTTTTTACCCAGCTAATAAGCATTACTGAACGCTGTATATTGTAAATTGTATAGAAATACTATCCATCATTTCAGATGGTTCTCAAGGAACTGAAGCTGGGATTGCTTAATGTGATTTAAACTTATGCATTTAAAAAAATTTTGGCAAAGTAGCTGCTTGGGTTTGCTTATTGAACTGTAACTTAGATCTTACAATTTGTATGTACATGTCTGTGTGTCTAATATGTACAAAATATGTGTTATAATTCATGTAGATATACTTTCATTACAATCTTCTCAAGTTTGTGTGATTCCATAACGATTCCATCGTGAGCAAGAGCTTCAAATCAATAAGCTTTTTTGTTTCTTTATGTTATTTTACTTCAGTCCAATTTTATTAAATTGTTCTTTGTCATTTATTGCATTTTCGATTCTATACATTTGATGATTTAAGCAACTTGTTTAAAACTTCAAAAGGACTCGTAAGTTTGATCATCCTTTTTCGAGTTAAAATGACTTGGTCAATTTTCATTTTGGTGCTCTTTAATCCAGTTTCAATCATCTGCTTTGCTTCAAAAGGTGAAGGTAATCAAAATCACATTTTCAAAATTTTGTTAATCTAAAATTCAAAATTAATTGGGATGCTTGATTGTTTCAGTATGATTCAATAAACTTTTAACAATTTTTTAATTAATTTAAAACTTCACAAGTTTGATTTACGCAAATGTAATATCAATTCTCTAATATAGTTGAATTAATTTATATTTAATGTATTATCAATGTATAAATTTTATATATTATCAGTGAATCAAATGATGTCACTTTATTAATAAATAAATATTAATTCTTAAAATAAATATACAAAAATTAATATTTTAAAAAATTTACTCATTAAAAAATCTCATAACCCTATTCATCTCATTAATAAAGTATCATTATTTGATTCATTAATAACATATAAAATTTATATATTAATAATGCATCAAATATAAATAATTAATCATTATAGCCAATATATAAAAGGCAAAGAAAATTTTCATAGTCACTAATTAGTTGTTAATGTAGCTAGATTGGTGTTTCAATTTTCAAACTCATGTAAATACATACACGTAAATATCATAATTTGGGATGTCTTTAAATGTTAAATATTCATTTGTAATTGATTATATCTCATAGAATTTTTTATAATTCTTGAGATCTCATATTCAATTTAAAGGTCAAAGTTTTGGCTATCGATATAAGTTTTGCGTAAGAATCAAACTTCATCTTTCTTTTAAGATTACAAAAGTGCTTTAAATGTCTTTTTACAAAATCCAAAAGTTTGAAATCAATTTAATTTGTATTTGTGTTGAAGAAATCATGTTTGGAGGTTGATAAATAGCTTTTTGGAATGAAAAATAGTCAAAAGGATTCTAATGTCATTTGAAGGGAATTCAAATGATAAAATTTAAAATCAATATATCTGAAAATTTGACTAGAGCATTCAAATGCCTTGCAAGATTTTACATTCTTAGTAAAAATTTGATTCTAGTACTCCAATGCCATGTCTATGATATTCGGATGCACTTGCTGAAAATTTAAGAATCTTATCCATTAAATATGATACTTGATTCTAAAAGTGGTGATAAGACATGCTTATTCGATAACATCAATTGAGATTTATAAATACTTCCATTAATATTTATTTAGCACAAATTTACACTTTTACGTCCAATCTCTCAAAAATCATTTCATTCTCTCTCACTCTCAAATTTTTGTTCATAGTTCAAGTATGCTCAAAAAATTCTTAAAGTGCAATCTTGAATTTCTTCGGGGAAATAACATTTTCAAACAGTCTATTTGCATGGACAAAATGTTACCTTGAAAGGTTTCCTAAAATTACCTTGCCTAAGTTTTCTCTGTTCAAATTAGATTGCATTAGTCAAACCCAAATACAACAATTTAAGGATAATATGCAACAGTTTAAGCCGTCCAATTGATCATAATTCACTTTATCTTCCATTTTCACTGAATCATTAATATATATATATATATATATATGTATGTGCATATATATATATATAAAAACAGTCGAACAGCTTTCCTTATCAATAATGCTTTATATCCTTTTCTCCATTACAGAAAAGAGAGAAAACAACTAAAAAAAAAATGCTTTGTTCTATCCCTCAAGCATATGTACGCCAAAAGTTTGAAGAATATAGACAACCTTAACTATGTTTCAGAGCTGTCAGCTGTTAAAAATATGAAGCCACTACATCAAAGTTCAGGACCAATTTGGACAACAAACTGCTTCTGCTGTTGATTGTTGAACCGGGCTGACTAAATTTCACCATTTTTGCATAGATATTGGCGATCACATAGCCTTGATGGTTTATTCTGCACGCCCAAGGAATGTGGATAGCAGTCTAGCTCTGTAGACAGACATTGATTATGTTAAACATAAATGTTAAGGGCTAGCAAATTGCACTTTAAGAAGATGGGATTATATTAAGTATAGTACAAGTACCTACAATGAAATTTGTGTCCAGAAAAAAATTGATATGCTATGCTGTTATGACCATATCATCATCAATTTCTATTATGGGGACAAAAGCAATCTTGGGCCAATCTTCCCCTTTGTTTTTCTGCAATCGTTTCTCCAATAAAGGACAGTCTTCAATTCGTAAAACCGAGAGGGCTTCAGGCAGCTCCGGACCTGACATAGATTGAAGCTCAGGACATTTACTAATTTCGAGCTTTCTAAGAGAGGTGAGATGCTGGAGTGCTTCGTTGTTGAGTGATCTCAAGTTGGGAATTTCAACAATGTAAAGAAATGTCAGAGTTGAGGGTAGGAAACCTTCCTCTGGAAAAGAATCAACACCTTCACATTTACCCCTGATGCCAAAGATTTTAAGAGAGCAGAGCCTTTGCAAATCCCAGTTCATGAGGCCAGCGGTGAATTTTTCACAAAAGGAGACAAAAAATGAGTTCAAATTCAAAGGCAAACCACCTTCAGGAAATGACTCAAGCTCTGGACAGTTGCGTATCTTCAATGAGTTTAGTGATGGGAGAAGGGAGTGCATATTTTCAGGCAGTGATTTTAGCTCCATACAGTCAGAAACTTCAAGGCATGTGAGATTAGGAGCATACAGTCCACCAACTGGAAATGACACAAAATACGGGCATAAACTGATTCTCAGGGAGTTTAGAGATGGGAGAACCTGATTAGGCCCCTCTGAAACTGAAAGGGAATTTAGTTTACACCCTCGTACAACAAGATGATTAAGTTTTGGGAACAATTGCAGCTGAAGGGACTTTAGAGAATAGCAGCTAAATGATATCCACAATGTTTTAAGTGAAGCATAAGTTGAACACATAGGCAATTCTAGTCTCTTGCACCTCATGATATCAAGTCTTTTCAAAGTGGCCAACATAACATCTTGGAGGGACAAAAGAGATGGGAAATCACAGATTTTCAGCTCTTCTAAACAAAGGCAATGCATCATCTCTTCGGGTAGAGATTCTAGTGTGCTGCACCCTCTAATTGTAAACTTGTGCAGTCCAGGCGGAATATTCTTCAAAAGCACCTTATCCGAATATCCCAAATGCAATTCGTAGATGGTTGGAGCCTGTGGAAGTGAAACCATGAGTTGCTGACAATCAATGATCATTAGTTTTCTCAATGAAGGAAGGTAGTTAGGCAACACCCCACTTAGCTTGGGACATTTTCGTATATGAAGTTCTTGAAGACATGGGAAATGTCCTTCCTCAGCATCTTTTTCAAAGGAAAGCCATTCCTGCCACTCCAACAGCCCCTCAAACCATAAAATTTCAGACACCTAAATGGCTTAACTGTAGATAAACTGTTTCTGTAGAACTCAAGTCCGACTCTCTCAACTGCATCAAACCCAATGATAAAAAGCTCTTTGAGTGATGGTAGTTGCCCAAGTGGTGGTAAGAAGAAGCAGTATTTACAATGGCTAAGCCGCAAAGACACAATATTTGAGAATGAACAATCCCCTAGCCAATCAGGAAACTTTGTGCCACCGTAGCATTCAATGGATAGCCTTTTCAAGTTTGTATGAGGTTGAAGCTTGCTCAGTACATCTCTTTCAGTTGATGTATCAAGAGTGTGATCACTCCATTTCAATATCAACTCATCAAGGTACTCTTTGTCTTTAAATTTTGCCTCCAAAGCATCTCTAGGATTGACAACATTTTGAAGATTGAAAATAGATAGTGTACCTCGAAGTTGCTGAAGCTCCCCCAATTCTGAAATGCTAGATCCAGTAAGGTTCCCCAAAACAAAAGCAGATAACGTTTGCAGATTTGTCAATCTACTCATTTGTAATGGCATCTCTTCTAGTCTTAGAGTCCCACTAATATCAAGATGACGTAAGTTGGTAAGTCTTCCCATTTGGTTGGGCAACTGATTGAGCGAGCCACAGTCTGCTAATAACAGTGTCAGCAAATTATACAAAGCACAAATAGATTCTGGTAGTCTCTCAATTGCAGTGAAAGACAGATCCAAGTAGCGGAGAAGTTTCAAGTCTCCTATTGAACTAGGCAACTCTGTTATATTATCATACTTGGACAAAGATAACACCCGTAAGCAATTTAATGTTGGCAATAGATCATGATACACTCGGTAAGGTAGTATTTCAACCCAAAAAAAGGGTTTTAGAGGTAGGAAGGTCCTCAGACACTTGGTTTCCTGGAAGGCATTGAACATTTGAGATTCATCATAAACAGTTCTTGCAAATGAAAAATGACGAATCGTCTTTGGGATTTCATTAGAGTTATTAGCCTCCAAACTCAAACAAAACCCTTTCGACACAAATTTGGCTAAATCATGAATGAGGTCATGCATAACAAAGTGCTTTCTATTGCCACTTGATTGTTGGAAAAATGATCTTGACAGTAGATTGTTGAAGTACTCAACCCCCACTTCTTCCGGCCTCTTCTTTCCTCTAGGTTGCGGCAATAATCCTTCAGCCATCCACAACAGGACCAGATTCTTAATTTCAAAATCATAATCCTTTGGGAACATAGCACAATATGCAAAGCATCTCTTTAGATGTGAAGGCAGATAATGGTAGCTTAGTAGTAAAGCAGGGACGATATTGTCATCATCATATGATAAGTCCCACATATTGCTTTCTAACACATTATGCCATTCTGTGACATCCCCTTTGGACCGAAGGAGACCTCCAACTGTTTTGGCAGCTAAAGGTAGGCCACGACATTTTTTCACAATTTCTTTACCGATGGTTTCTAGATTCTTTACTTGCACACTGGAAATCGCATTACCAAATGCATGGTTTGAAAATAGCAGCCAACATTGTTCATCTGTTAATTGCTTCAGATGATAAGAAGGAACAGTGCCCATAATTGATGCAACACTTTCATTTCGGGTTGTGACAATGATCTTGCTCCCTTGGGCTCCATGAGTTAAAGGTCTCTTTAAGGCCTCCCAATGGACATAATTTTCATTCCAAACATCGTCTAAGACTAGTAGAAATTTCTTACCCATTAAACATTCTGTCAGCTTAACTTGAAGCAAATTAAGTTCCCCAACCTCACAACTCGAAGTGACTGCCTCGAGAATTGCTTTTGCCACTCGAAAAACATCGAAGTTTTCTGAAACACAAACCCATATTTTGAGGTCAAAGTTAAACAGTTGCTTCAGCTTGCTGTCATCATTGTAGACAATCTGAGCAAGGGTGGTTTTACCAATCCCACCCATACCAACGATGGGAACTACCCCTACTCCATCGCTACTTGAATCATCTGACAGCAACAACTTCATTATAGCTTCTTTATCATCAGCTCTCCCATAAACACTGGACTCATCCCCCAAGGAAGTGGTTGGTAGCTTTCTCAAATATTTTTCCCCAAACCCTTCTCTCAAAGAAAGGATATCTTTCTGTCTTTCAAGATACTCAACTCTCTCAAGTATGTCCTTCAGCTTAGATTCAATTCTCTTATGAAATGGATTAAGAGAAGAGATAAAATTCCATACCCTGGTTCTGCTGGTTTGGAATTCAGCTTCAGTTGCAACTTCATCCAGGAGGTCCTCCGCATCATAAACGGCATCTTTTAGCTCGTTCACCCACTTCTTTACATTGTGGTTCACGATTTGCTTCCCTTCTGCATCATCTAGCAAAGCGTTGACTGACAGCAAGGTAGCTTCCAACTTTTGAAACAGTTGGCGGTCGAGTCTCTCTCCTCTAATGAAGTCGATGACATCACGAGAAGCCATCCGATCTAACAGAACTTGAAGAAAAGAAGAAAGAAAAGCTCCACCCACCAATTCAGCAGCCATGGTATTGAAGAATTGTAGGAGAAAACAAGTGTTTTTTGGTTGCAGATAGGAAATCCAAAAATTTGTTGAATCTATAGAACGGCCAGTGAATGCTTACTAAGTCATCGAGGGTGCCCATAGAATGAATCTATACATTAAAAGTACCGCTTAAACAATATCCTACGGCACTTCACATGTTTTCAATTTTTTTTTTTTTTTAGTTTTTCTTTCGTATTTCAAAGAAATTTATCTACTACCAAGTTCCGAGATAGTTTCGGCTGTTAGTTTAAATAAATTATTAATAAAATATACATATTTATTTCACTTATTACTTAATAATAAATTATTAAACAATACATAAATTGCACTCATGTCTCTCAAAGTTGAAATTAAAAATTAAAATGTTTTTTAATAAATTCATAAACTTATTTTTCTTATTTATATAAATTTTTATATATCAAATTAATAATATAAAAATAATATTATCATCCTCACATTACATGAAATTAAAACTAATTTCATTCTTTTTAACAAATCCGAAACCTACATGTATAAATTTCAAATTCTATTATAGTGGTGTACTGTTAGATTTTGTTCCCGAATAAAACGATAACTTTTTTTCGTGGATGGCAAATTGGATTTGCAGCAATGTTAAGGAAATATATGCATAAGCTAAAATAACCAAAAAAATTCCTCTAAACTTTGTTATTTTACTTAAATAAACTTTTATATTTCTATTACATTTAGAGTCGAATAAATTCTTAATCTTTATTTTACATCCTAATAAATTTTTAATTTTTATCTAAATAAATCTTTAATCTTTACTTTATACCTAAATAAATCCTTAATATAAATCAATTTTTTATTTGAAATAAAAACTTATTAGAATATAAATAAAAAAATCAAACTTATTCCAATACAATAAAAACATAAAAATTTATTCAAAAATAAAATAATTTAAGAACTTTTTTTCATATTTTAACCATATGCATAACAATAAAGATGCATGGAAAGCTACATAATTAACTGTGATAACATATTAAAAGAAAAAATATATATAGCTAATAAAACAGCTGAGAAGAAAAGGCAAAAGAAAAAAATATCCCACCACTTATTTTAAATTTTCTGTAACAGTTTCAGCAATTCTATTCAGTATCCTATAATATACCAAAAAATTTCAGGACAAAAAAAAAAAACCATCAACAACAACACTTCAAAAGAGTGTAACAGTTTTGCCAAATGGTAGCATTCTTAAGCAAGGAGCAAACTTTTGCGGCAGAAAACAACAAAGCCATTCATTAAAGTGATACACTAATTTGACAGGCAATATCTACAACTTCTCATGGTACACTATTATTATATGTACGATGCTCAATTGATACATACAAAAATTATCAACCCAAAATGTATGTATCATTATAATGCAATATTTTAATGTAAACTGACAGTTGATACCGAGAACGATGAGGCTCCCACACAGCTCCGACTGGGAAAAAAAACAGAACTGAAAGCGATGTGCTGTGCCTGCAAAAGAAAAGAGCATGAATTGAATAATTTGTATATACCATACAACCATGAGTAATCGGAGATATATTTGACTTCAAAACAATATTAAAAATTTCCCTAAGAAAGTTAGCATGTGTACTCCAAATGAGAACCTTTTGATCTTTCATATTTGGAACTGCAGCTTGGGAACTTAGATGCAGGTAATTTCATTAATTATAAACCTTTCAACACGATAACAAGTGCCTGTAACCCATTTAGATTTTTATGATGGAGCACTTGACACAGTCCAGTTCAATGGCTATAATCAATTAAAGCAATTAAAAATCAACTAAAAACTCACCATTTGGTTACAAGCCACAAGAGAAAGCCTTGAAAATATCTTACAAAACGATGCGGTGAAGACTGAAAAATAAACTGCCTCAAAATCTCTTTGCTTTTTGTGTTCAAGTAATGAATGAGCATGAACATGTTTAATTGTCCCCAAAGCCCATAGATTGCCCCAGCACTGTTCTCACACGGAGCTGTACCACAAATATTTATATTAGGTTAACCAGAAAGGTGAAACGAATGAAAAACAAATTCAAAAGATATAAAGAAAATGACCTTAACGTCAACACATGAATCATTAACCATATTCTTCAATTGAGAAACTATCCCAGCATTGCGCAGTTTTTCAAGCCGGCCAGATGCACCAGGACTCGATGGACAAGTAAGATTCACTATTGTCCAGACAGTTGCCGTACGTAACTGGCTATCATTACTCAGCAAAAACTTAATCATATAAGATTGATTCTTGTCACCTGTTTGTGGAAAGAGTTGGTGCATTACTGCTTCCTTGTGAAACTCGTTCCCACTCGCCACATTGCATAGTGCATACATTCCCTACATGGCAAAGAATTTATCATAAGCTAAAAAGAGAAAATTACAATTAACATGCTGTAAAATCATGGCTTTTATCATATATTTTTGTCTTTGTTATTTCAATTGTGAAAGTATGTATCTATGACCTCTAAAATCCTTACTAGAGTTGGCAACGGGTCGGGACAGGACGGGTTTTTGTTCGTCCCAAATCCGACCGAATTTTATATTCATCAAACCCGAACCCGATCCGACCTAAAAAATTTTTTTCATTTTTTCATACCCAAACCCGACCTAACCCAATACTATATAAACCGTACCCGACCCAAAATTAATAAAATATTATTTTTTAAATATAAATATTTAAATATATAATTATATAAATATATATATAATTAATTAATTAATTAAAAAATAATTTTTTATATAATATCAGGTCGGGTCGGGTTTGCCTAAAACCCAAACCCGACCCGACCCCAATTTTTTCTTTGCCTTACCAGCCCTGACCCGATCCGAAACCCGAATTTAAAAAAAAAAAGAAAAGACCAACTCTATGAGGTTAGGTCGGGTCGGAATCCACCGGGGACGAGTTGGGTTGCCAACCCTAATCCTTACACTGTTAATTTCGACACAATGTGACAGGACTACATACGGAAACCAAATCAAAGCCCTAAAAGATATTTCCTAGAAATTTTAACTGTTATTGCCTTGAACATAAACACAAATAATCACAATTATAATTAGCTTATTTACCTGCACACACCATGCTTCAATAGATGAAAAACAAGTCATTGAAACCTAACATGTATAGTGAATTCCTATATGATATGTCTGCTTATATGCTGATTCACAACTTATTAGAAAGAACCCGCATAAATTAAAAAACATATACTATAATAGAATGAGTTTTCCAATCATTAAACACATAAAATAATATCATCCATAAGTTCAGGCAACTTGTCGAAATCCAACTCGCCAACTAACAAGTTTGCAAAATTTCTCCTCTAGTGGCAACTTTTCCATGTATTTCCAAAAGTCAAAATAGCATAAATGATTTGACTGGTTGACTGAGAAGGGCATGATTAAAGGTTGTAGATCTTGAGTGCCACTAAGAGAACTTTCTCCTGGTTAAGGACACAGAACAATTAAATATGAGATATTCATTCCAAACATGCATGCAAATTAGTTAAATTTTTAGTGCAAAATGGATTCGTTACAATTATATTTCCAAAATAAAATGTTAGCTTCAAAATATGGACTTACTAAAATGAGAAGGGTATAATTACACGTGTAGTAATATCTAAGGTGCCATATAGAGAAATCTCTCTTGGCTAAAGAGACAAAAAATGGCTGAAAATTGGGAGATCTTGTATCCAACTTTAAAAGCAATTTCAAATTTTAAAAGTTAAACAATTGAAATATTGAATGTTATATCTGTTGTTATTGCATTTTGTTGCTATTCAAATAACACTGCACTCTAACTCATTATTTCCCTAGAATCCAAACCTGTATCCCTATCTCAGCCTTTGAAGAACTCTGTAATTGTCTTCCAATGGCCCCTAATATAAGGCCATCTTCAGCAAACACAAACTCAATTGAGTTTATATATCCATCAACTAGATTACGAACCAGGGCCAAAGCTTGCTCTTGCACACAAGGCTCTGGATCTGCAATACAAATGTATGTTAAGCAGCACCTTGATTTGAACTTATGTCAGAACATAAGCTAAAAAACAATGTGAAGAATTGTAAGTAGATAAATCTCATTACCACAGATAAGGCTTGATAACATCGATGCAGTAAGCTCTGAGAAAACATCTTCTTTCAACCTGTTGTCTGCTAGGAATACAAAGTTCTTCAAAGCCCACAAAGCATTTGACCTGACAGCCGATTCCATAGACTTTGCTAACTCAACCAGCTGTTTTATCCCTCCACATTGTATAAAAATAGACTTACGTGTTGTAAAATCAACCACTACGTTGCAAATAGCACCAAGTGCAGCAACCTAGAAACAACAAGATTTAATGGACAGTTTAACATCCAGCCAATTCATAAGCTTTGAGATCAGCTAGAACAAGAGGGATTAACATGTAAACTATACGCAACATAATTTTTGGACAATTAATGTAAAAATTAATCTTGCACGATGTGTTTTCTTAACGATTAATCTTAAATTGATATAAAGAGTGAATAAAGGCATATAGCAGAGGTTCAAGGCTTGAAGCAGTCTTTCAGGTCGATAGCAGCTTCCAAATTTCACAACACCTCCATAATATTGACTTGTTATGATACCAAATTGCACCTTGTTAGGTTTTAATAAAAATAAAAGGCGAAAAAGAAAAGGGGAAACATCATATTCATAACCCATACAGCATCTACCAAGGGAAAAGCATCAGGTCCTTCTGGTTTCTGCTGCCACCTAAAGCCCACACTCAATAATATGGTAAGCCAAAACTGGTCTCCGAACAGACAAAACCAAATAAAAAAAGAAAAAAGAAAGAATCAAGGAGATAAATTTAAGAAAATGCCAGAAATAGGTTGACCTAACACAGTTTAATTCAATGATATGTTTTTAGATATAACTCAGAGATGTCAGAGCCACAAATATTAAGAAAGAAATTAGGAAAGCAAAATTTGCTTGAAATCAGATAACTGAACGTTGAAATGATACTCCTGCAAATTTTTTTCCCTTTTGGGCTTTGACAAAAAAATGCAGGCATTACCTACCAATTATGCAATTCCAATTTTAACAGCTTGATTACCTGGACAGAAGTTGAAGGGTCAAGAAAAAGTTGAACCAAAGGAATCACAATAATTTCGTTCATAAAATGACCTGCACTCAAATTCTGAGTTGGCATTTCATCAGATATATTTTCATATAAATATCAAAACAAAAAACTGCAAAATTGTTATCACATTACAGACCTTGATTGATCGAGTGACACTTTTCAAACATATACAAGCTGCAGTGCGTACATCAGCACTATTATCAGTTAGTGCATCAGTTACCAAATTCAACACCTGTAATTATGAGAAAATATGAGAAAGTTAAATGAAGTTGAAGATTCAAACAAATAAGAATCTCCAATAAGAATTGCTTGAGAGAGTGCCACTAGAGAAAATTACAGAAAAAATGCCTGAGATAACATTTTATATAAAATTACTGTAACATTTGCTTCAAGCGAACACAGCATACATGCTAAGAAGCTTTGTAACCTAATTTATAACTTCACTGAAAAGTATAAAAGAACTATAATGATGGCGAAATTTGATGGTTGAGATGTTGGAGATTAATAGCAAACAAAAAAACTCATCAAGAAGACAACTCATAAGAATTTGAATAATGGCAGAAAATGATTATTGGATTAAAAGGGATAGAAGTTCACCACCAAGACTAGACACTAAGGGATACAGAAACATCACCCTAAGAATTTTAATCAAGAATACAGAACAATAGAAGTTCACCACTTTAAGAAATCCACCTAAGAGATACAGAACTTGAAGAACAATCTAAAAGATTGCTTAAAGATAAAGAAAACTCCATTATGTCTTCTACCAAAGAATAATAGAAAATAAATAGGCTACAAACATCCCTCCATGCATGAGAACTTCACAGATTGAATTGCTAAAATCGTGCCTAAAATCATGGGATTTGCAGTGAACATAATAATCTGTAATGTGAACGCAATTATCTACCCATTTACTCTTGCAAATCACATGATAATATGTTGAATATTTGATGTTTAGGTTCATCCATGAATCTGACCATAATTCCCATCCATCTTCATGCTCTCCTTTCCCAGCTAGTGTGAACACAATCTCACTATTCCAACCCATCTTATTTCTGCATTTGTTTAGTGAATTTGGATCAAGGATAGGCCCATCCTATTTTTGGATAAGTCTTCCTTAGTTTCAGCCCAAGTTGTAAGATGTCTTGACACTCCGGTGTCAATCTCTTCTAGTTGGTAAAGACTTGTCCTCAAGTTTGAATTAGTCTTTTCACCATGGTAGGATGACAAATCAACAACATTCAAGGTGAGAGATACTCCATAAGGGTGTTGGGAAGCTTTATCTTGTAGGCGTTCTCTCCAATTCATTGTGAAACTTGAAATGGGCCATTTGCCTTAGACTGTAGCTTACCAAACTTCTCTTGTGGAAACCTTTCTTTGTGCAAGTAATCCCACACCAAATCATGTTCTTTGAATTTCACGCCTTAGATGAATGATTATTGTCCTTTTATATTTTTTATTTTTTTGCAAAATCCAATTCTAAACCTGTTCATGAAATATTTTGATACTCTTGGCTCTTTCTTCTACATCTCCATCAAAATGCCGGTTAGTATAAAATTGAATTAAATCCAAAGGACAAATTGCATTCTTACCAAGAACAATTTCAAAAGGGTTGCAATCAATGGTTTGACTTGGTGAATGGTTGTAGGCAAACTCCACTTGTAGTAAAACAAGTTCCCATTACTCTAGTTTCTTTCTCGCATACTCCTCAAGAAAATTTTCAAGCTATAATTGATAACTTCAATTTGCCCATCAGTTTGGGAAGGATGACAAGGGTTGTAATTAAGACTAGTAATAAGCTTCCTCCAAAAGGTGTACCAAAAATGACTTAAGAACTTGGAATCTCGATTGAACACCATGGACTTTGAAATATCATGTAACTTCACGCTTTCTCTAAAATACTAATCAGAAACATGAGAAGTATCGATGGTTTTGTTACAACGGATAGAATTTACCATCTTGTAAAAAAGATCCACAACCACCATGATAGAATCCTTGTTCTGTTGAATACTTGGCAATCCCACTACAAAGTCCAAGCTGATATTATCCCTTCCAAAATGTTCTCCCAATTACCATCATCAACTTTAGTGAAAATGACTCGTCTTTAAGGACTATGCAAGCAATTAGCTTTGAAGAGAAAGCCATCATGTACCAGAAATTGGTTATGTGCCCCAAGGTTGCATTCCTCCAAATTCTATCACAATAAAAACCCCTCATAAAGTTCTTTGAGCAAATCAAAGTCAATAACTTGATCAGCCATAATTCCCAATCTGGAATGCTTTAGGCTCAAAGCTTCTACCACCATCTTAGGAATTCCATATTTGTGTTTGACGGCGAAGTAATAAGATTGAAGAAACTCCATCCTCGTTACATGCCTTCGATTGAGCTTGTGTTGGCTGTTAATGATCTTCAAGTACCTAATGATCAGAATATAGAACAAATGACTTGGCAAGGGGGTACTGACTCAAAAGGAACAAAACTCTATAAATAGCATAGAACTTCTTGTCATAAATTGAGTTCTTCCATTGGGAATCATTGAGCTTCTCACTCAAAAAGGCAATTGCTTTTCCCTCTTCATTAAAGCAAGCATCTATGGGGCTTACATCACACCATACTTCATCTTTATAGTGTTTCTCTACAGAGAATGCAACCAAACAATGTTTGTTGATCTCGATCTCATTTCCTCATTGGAACCATGACCTTGTAGGGATGAGGATGTTCCATGTTTTTTTAATCCAGCCGCTGCACCAAGAGAGTGGATACCTTATTCTCAAAGCTGTCACTATCAATAATCACTTCACATACCTTATCATGAGCAGTGCACTTAGTGTGGAATTTATTCTTGTGTAACCAGTCTTCTTCCTCTACATGCACATCACTCAAGCCGTATTGTATAACAAGTGAGGATTCAAGATCACCATAAGTCTCCTTAACACCTTCTTCAGGATCCTGGGGTACTTCAATAGGTTCTCCTTCAACATCTTCAAGAACTTCATCTTCAAACAACGTAACTATCTTGAGATTTGGACACTCAGAATGTATATGCCCAACTCTTTGGCACTTGAAGTCTCTTTGGGTTTGAGTGTTGATAGCACTAGATTGTGGTTTGTTGGGAATGTCTCCTTCCTTCTTTAGGTGTAGATTTGAAAGGGGTTTGGCAAAAAACACTGGTCTTGGACGTGCTTCCCTTGTTAATGTATTCTTCCACCAAAAGATCCCTTTACTTCAAGTTATAGAGCCTAAGGAAGACGTCTTGACGAAAGTTGTCTGGGAGATACTTCCTATTCAACTCTCTATTCATCTTCTCCCAAGTTGCAATTTTTCTCCTGCCTTCTCTTTCCCTTTGCTTCTTCAAATTTTTCCACCAAAAGGATGCATGCTTTTTGAGTTTGATGGCCACTAGCTTCACCTTACGATGTTCAAAGGCATCATAGTATTTGAAGATGCGCTCCACTGTGTGTAGCCTATCTAAGAACTCTTCAGATTACATCTTTCCTTTGAACTCAGGAATCTCTATCTTTAGATTGAATATGCTATGTTGATGTTGGTTTCTATGTAGATAGTCTCTAACTTGCCATGGGTGAAGTAGGATGCTATCATCAGAATCACTGTTGTTTCCATGGTATAGATTGGTTTCTCCTTCATCTTCTTCGTTCCCCCTTCCTTACCTCATTATCTCCTCTCTCTCTTTTTGCATATGCAACTATTGTTGTAGTTGAAGGATCTGTTGCCGCATCTCCTCTATGAAGGTATCCCTTAGGTCAACATTGGTAGTTGTCGCAACGTCAGTGTTGGCTTCAACCTCTCTGCTAGTGCTTGACAACGATGACCTGCCATAGCTTTGATACCAAATTGATGGTTGAGATGTTGGAGATCAGTAGCAAACAGAAAAACTCACAAGAATTTGAATAATGGCAGAATATGATTATTAGATTAAAAGGGATAGAAGTTCACCACCAAGACTAGACACTAAGGGATACAGAAACACCACCCTAAGAATTCTAATAAAGGATATAGAACAATAAAAGTTCACCACTCTTAGAAATCCACCTAAGAGAAATAAAACTTGAAGAACGATCTAAAAGATTACTTAAGGATAAAGAAAACTCTATTTTGCCTTCTACCAAAGAATAACAAAAATAAATAGGCTAGGAACATTCCTTCAAGCATGAGAACTTCACAGATTGAATTGCTAGAATCGTGCCTAAAATCATGGGAATTGCATGTGAACACAATAATCTTAAATGTGAACGCAACTATCTATTCATTTACTCTTGCAAATCACATGATAATATGCTGAATATTTGGTGTCTAGGTTCATCGATGAATCTGACCATAATTCCCGTCCATCTTCATGCTCTCCTTTCCCAGCTAGTGTGAATACAATCTCCCTATTCTAGCCCACCTTATTTCTTATGGGAAAACATTTAGTTACAACTTGTTGTAATCTGTATATATTTGTATCCCTAAAATTGAGAATTTGTATCTCTAGAATTAAAGATAGAATATTAGGATAGTCAATCCCTTAATTATAGGGATCAGTTTTTAGGAAGATTTAGTTTCCTAGTTTAACCCCTAGTTAGTTGTATATAAACCTAAGGTGCTTGTATAATTCTTAATGAGCAGTTTTCACTATACATTCAGTTTTACTCTTAGTTTTTCACACAGTGTTACTTCTTAGTTTTTCCACATGGTATCAGAGCTTTAGGCTCTTCTTGGCAAGCAAAATTTTTCAGCCTTCATTGTTGACTTCTATTTTAGGCCTTCATTGCTGAACCCTGTTTAGGCCTTCATTATCAAACCCTATTAAGGCCTTCATAGCCATTTTATTTTTCCCTTCTTTAGCCTTCATTGCTAAGAGTTATTTCTGGTTATATCTTAAGACTTGTTTCAGTTCAAAGAAAGATATCACTACCACCCAATTTGAGGAAGTGTCAACTGAGAAAATCACCGGAGTACTATAAATGTCTCAAAAACAAAGAGAGTTGGATCAAGAAGAGATTGAGAAGCTAAGAACCTATTGAAAACCCTTGAAAAGCCTACTAGAGTATGTTCCTTACGTAAGGTCTCTAGTTCAAGTAAAGCTTATGGTTCTCATGGATTAAATGTCTCGTTAAAACCTATTACAAGTTCTTGGGTCATTGATTCAGGAGTCACAGACCATATGACACATTCCTCACAGAAGTTTAGTACATATACCCTGTGTCCCAGTAATAAGAAAATTGTTGTTGCATTTGGTTCACTTACTATAGTGGCAGGATTAGGAGATGTTCAAATTAATCCCTCGTTTGTTCTTAAAAATGTTCTTCATGTTCCTGGATTGTCTACTAATCTGATATATATATATATATATATATATAAAACTACCAGAGATATGAATTGCAAAGTGACTTTTTATCCCACTTATTGTGAATTTCAGGACTAGAGTTTTGGGATGAGTATTGGACTTGCTAAGGAGAAAGATGGACTATACTATCTTGAGACATCAAACAACGCAAGTAATGTCAATAATAGTTTACCTTTGTCATTTCTTTCTGAAAAATCTCCCAATAAAGACAAAATCTGGCTTTATCATTTTCGTCTTGAACATCCTTCTTTTGAAACTTTGAAAAACATGTTTCCTTTATTCAAAGGATTAAATGCCGAAAATTTTCATTGTGATGTTTGTGAACTTGCAAAGCATAGATGTGTGTCTTTTTCAGTTAGCAATAAACGAAGTTCTACTCCTTTATACTTGATTCATAGTGACATATGGGATCCTTCTACAATTCCTAATATTTGGGGTGCAAGGTGATTTGTTTCTTTCATAGATGATTGTATTAGGGTCTCTTGGATATTTTTATTCAAATTCAAATCAGATGTGAATAGTGCATTTTTAAGCTTCCAAAACATAATCCAAAATCAATTTGAAGTGAAAATCAAGAGATTTAAGTCTGAAAATGCAAGAGACTATTTCAACCAGAGTTTATCTACCTATTTCCAAAAGAAGGGATTATCCATGAGTCATCTTGTGTTAATACCCCACAGCAGAATACAGTGACAAAGAGGAAAAACAGTCATTTACTAGCCACAACCCAAGCTTTACTTTTTCAAGCAAACGTACCCAAATCCTACTAGGGGAAAGCTGTTCTCACTGCCACACATATTATAAATAGGTTACCTTCAAGGGTTTTGGGATTGAAAACTCCTATGGAACTACTCTCACAATTCTATCCCAACTTTAATACCACAAACAACCTCACACCTAGGATATTTGGTTGTACATCATTTGTTCATGTTCACACTCACAATAGGGGGAAGTTGGATCCTAAAGCAATTAAATGCATTTTTGTAGGATATTCATCAACTCAGAAAGGATATAAGTGTTATCATCCTCCAACCAAAAAATTATGTGTTTGCAGAAGTCACTATTGAAGAACGTAAACTATTTTTACTCAACCTTATCTTCAGGGGAGACTTTATTCATGGAAAATAAGGATAAAGACTTCTTTTTGCTTGATTTATCCTCTTCTTCAACATTTTCACCATTAATTCTTCTGAGTCGAAACCTATTTCTGTTGAGCCCAAGTCAAACACTGAATTTGAGTCTGAACCCATTCCAAACACAGAAGATGTGACAAAGGATAATATTGTTCTTGATTCTATGAAGGAATTACATGTGTACTCAAGAAGGAAAGTTCCAAATCTTGAACCAGTGCCAGTCCAAGAACCTGATCCTAACTCTAAAAATGAGGTAATTACAGTCTTTGACTATATTTCTCAAAATGAGCATGAATCTCCTAAAATTAGTGATTATGATCTACCTATTGCCATTAGGAAAGGAACCAAAGAATGTACTAAACATCCATTATACCCAATCTCTAATTTTGTGTCATTTGAAATATTCTCACCATCCCACAAAACTTTTCTTGTGAGCCTAAACACTATTTCTATTCCAACTACATTATCTGAGGCATTATCCAATGAGAAATGGAGGCAGGCCATGAAAATAAAAATTGAGGCCTTGGAGAAAAATAAAACAAGGGAACTAGTAAAGTTGCCTACAGGAAAAAATCCAATTTGGTGTAAATGGGTTTTCACTGTAAAATTAAAGGCAAATGGTACTGTTGAAAGGTATAAAGCCAGGCTGGTGGCTAAAGGCTACACTCAAACTTATGGAGTGGATTATCAAGAAACTTTTGCTCCAATTGTCAAGATGAATATATTTAGGATTTTGTTATCCTTAGCTGCAAATTACAATTGGTAGCTTCAACAATTTGATGTAAAGAATGCCTTTTTACATGGCGATTTTGACGAAGAAATATATATGAAAGGTCCACCGAGATTTGAAGGTCATCTAGAAACAAGCAAAGTATGCAAGCTGAAAAAGGCTTTATATGGCTTTAAACAGTCTCCTAAGGTCTGGTTCGGGAGATTTGCCAAGGTGATGCTAGCAATTGGATATAAACAGAGTCAAAGGGATCACACACTGTTTATCAAACACTCAGATTCAGGAAAAGTCACAGTTTTGTTAGTATATGTTGATGATATAATTGTAACCGGAAGATGATGAAAAAGAGAGAGAATCTCTAAAATAGTGTTTCGCCAAAGAATTTGAGATAAAAAAGCTAGGGAGATTGAAGTAATTCCTAAGAATTGAAGTTGCTCTCACTCATGGCATGGTATTTTCATCTCACAATAGAAATATGTGATGGATCTTTTGAAGGAAACAGAGAAGCTTGCATGTAAACCTGCAAGTACCCCTATAGATCCTAATCATAAACTTGGAGAAGCTAATAAAGATGCTATGTACTAGGGATTAATTGGAAAACTTATTTAGCTCTCACATACTAGACCTGACATAGCATATGCTATGAGTATGATAAGTCAATTTATGCATAGTCCTAAAGAAGTGCACCTACAGGCTGTTTACCGTGTACTACACTATTTGAAGGCTAATCCTGGGAGAGGTATCTTGTTCAAAAGAAATTCGGGGTTGTTACTAGAGGCAAATATAGATGCTGATTATGCAGTTCGATAACTGATAGAAAATCTACCTCAAGCTATTGTACTTTTCTATGTGGTAATCTTGTAACTTAAAGGAGTAAAAAACAGAATGTGGTGGCACGATCAAGTGCTAAAGCAGAGTTTAGAGCAATGACTTAAGGAATTTGTGAACTACTAGGGTTAAAGATTATCATAGAAGACTTAAAGATCAAATGGGATGGACCAATGAGACTTTACTGTGATAACAAGTCTGCAATAAACATTACACACAATCCTGTTCAACATGACAGAACAAAACACATTGAAGTAGATCGGCACTTCATAAAGGAGAAACTAGACAATGGGTTGATTTGCACATCATATGTTACAACCAAAGGTCAACTTGCAGATATGTTGACTAAAGGTCTCAGCAGTGCAACATTTCAAGAAATTATTTCCAAGCTGGGAATGGAAAATATCTATTCACCAGCTTGAGGGGGAGTGTGGGAAAACATCTAGTTACAACTGGTTGTAATTGTGTAGTTGATTGTAATCTGTATATATTTGTATCCCTAAAATTGAGAATTTGTATCTCTAGAATTAAAGACAGAATATTAGGATAGTCAATCCCTTAATTATAAGGATCAATTTTTAGGAAGATTTAATTTTCTAGTTTAACCCCTAGTTAGTTGTATATAAACCTAAGGTGCTTGTATAATTCTTAATGAGCAATTTTCAATATACATTCAGTTTTACTCTTAGTTTTCCACACAGTGTTATTTCTTAGTTTTTCCACATTTCTGCATTTGTTTAGTGGATTTGGATCAAGGATAGACCCATCCTACTTTTGGATGAATCTTCCTTACTCTCGACCCAAGTTGTAAGATGTGTTGACACTCCAGTGTCACATAAAATAGACAATGAAATCTCAAAATTGTTTGTTTATGAGCTGAGATCTACTGGTGAGTCACCTTAAGTACCTCAAATAGACACCACAGATTCCTAGGGATAATATTTTTTGAAAATTGCTGTAACTGCCGTTTTGGCACTTGGATATTTCTTTTGTTGTCCTAGCAAAGGCAAGACCAATAGGCCTTTACTAGTCAAAGTAGAGCCTAGAGGTCCACTCTCCAAGATTGGAAAGTTCAATTAAACAACATAAGGATAAAGAACCTTTAACCCTTCAAGAAGCAACAGTAGGCATTTGTGATGCATTTTTCTTGGGTTTAGGCATTATGAAAGTGGTGAAAATCTATTTCAATACTAAAAACAGTTTATTACCAGCAGCATCACCTAATGGTGATGAAGCAGCTGGTGGCTAAAAGGTAGCCAAGGTATGATTCCCTATGCCTGAAACTTTCCAGTGAGCAATAATCTTTAGCCTCCAACTATGCCTTCTTGCTATAAAGGATAGGTTTCCAAGCAGGAAGCAGGCTTTCTGTTTATCTTCCTTTACATCTTTACCCAGCTACATCCAAGAGGGCAGTCAGGAACATTTCCCGAAAAGTGGGAATCCATCAAAAAAAAAGCAGAGGACATTACCTCTGACCGTAATGCCATTAATATATTTAAAGTACTAACTAGCAGAAACCAAGATATTATACAGAATTTATTTTTGCAAGTGTGTGTCAGTTGAGGGGGAGGGAGGCAGTTCACTTTGTTACATTTAATACTGACTATTAAACTATTAATTGATACAAAACTAGCACTCTAGCAGTTCATTGCCTAAGGGAGTAGAATAGCATAACCAAAAGACAGCCCAAGTAATTCTTACATAGAATTCAGCTCTCTATCCCATTTCTCTCCACATTTCCTGTTTTCTACTACTTTGTCACTAATTAAAACAGGTTCAGTGTGTTTAGTTCTTTTCTGGATAAGTGACAATTAAAAGGTAAACATGGAATTAAAAACAATTAACCATGCATGTTAATATACTCCATAAAAAAATCAAACCTGCAATGAGAGGAACTTAGACCTGCAACTCTCCAACTTTGAGCACATATCAGCTAATGCAAGTAATATACCCTCATAATGTCTGGGATGCAATGGGCCTTTTTGTAAGTGGTGATGTAGTTTATCAATAGCATTGGCCTCAAGAGCTAATTTTTGAATGTCCTCCCTTTGTGCAATTAAACTGGAAAAAGCAAAAGGAGCCTCATATCCAACTTGACCAGGATCATCAAGAAGCTCAAGTAAAATATGTATTAATGTAGTTTTGATCCCTAAATCTTGCAAGAAGTGGGGAGAAGTGTTCCTTATGACAATCAAGCACATGCAAGCTAGCAACCTTGTTCGAGGGTACCTATCCTTCACTAGATCAATAACAGAACTCAAAGGTCTTCCAATTTCAGGTCCAGCAAATTTCGAAATAACTTCAGGATTATTCTTAAATATTGCGGCTATAGACTCTAAACTAGCATCTCTCTGACTTAAAGAACCACCTTCAAGAAGACTATCCAGCTTCCTTAGAATACCAGCATCAAACAATGCCTTCTGCTCTAAACTAGTCTTACAAGAGTGAGTAATTATACTTGCACCAAGTCCACTGACATTTTCATTCTCACTATTCAGTAGTGAGATAAGGAACTCCATGTTTTTCCGTTGAAGGAAATCATACTTTGGGGCCAATTTTGATTGATAAATCATTCTTAGGGCACGAGCACCAGCATCTACCACCTGAAGAAAGCAAAGCCATTGAAGTTATTAAAAAGTAAGAGATAGAGCAAAAGGAATACAAAACTCCAGAGAGGCATAAAACTAGAGTCCTTAGTTTCTACATGCATTACATGAGGATATTATTTGAAAAGGTTTAAAGAGATAAAAGAATCTTTCTGATAGTCTCAAATCTGCCATAGAAAAGAGAGACAACTGATCATCCACCACCTCAGGAGCAGTGATGCTGCAGCAGATTCAGAAATAGAAACTCTATGGGGGCACCATAGAGCTTTTGAAGATTCTTTGAACAAACCAAGCATTGATGTTTGCAGTGAGATAAAATAACAGATAAACATATACGGACTAAAGAGTACTCAAAAGTGTCACCAACCATGGTTAAGACAATGAAACTTGATTCATATGGTTTAAGATGAATGAAAATGGCATAGACTGTACCAAAGGACACCAGACCCCCAAAAAGGATCTGTATGGAGACAATAACAACAATACAGTTCCATATGAATTGGAATTGACAAAAAAGATTACCATATGCAATATCACAAAATTCATAATTGAGATGGCTTAGCTGAGTTGAACAAACAGTTAATGGTTATAGACTTATGGTTAATAGTACATAAACATTGTAGCCTTCTTTTTCACAATCCCATACCATGATTTCTTTCTTTCCTTTATGCAATTAATCTTAATCTTTTTGTAGCCTCCTTTTTCACAATCCTCTATCATGATTTATTCCTTTCCTTTATGCAATTAATCTTAATCTTTTCTCCCAAAAACTACTGACTTAAAATTTTTTGAAGCAAATAGACGAAGAATGCTAGAAACTTATTTCGAAAACACAAAAGTCCTCCAACGTTTCCATATTATTATATGACATTTTTAACAAACATACCAAAAAAAAGGAAAAAAAAAAAAAAGAAAGAAAGAAAAGATTTCGTTTGCATTACAGTACTATTTTTTCCCACCATTTATGAGATCTTAAAAGAAACATATATTATTTCAAAAAAAAAAAAAAGAAACAGTATATTAAAATGGTATAAAGATATTTGGCAGAGAAGATAGCATCCTAACTGAGCAAACAGAACAATCATACTCATTTAGGTAAATAAACTAAATATGCTTATACAATCTAAAACAAAAACATTATATCTAAATTCCAATTTCTCTTCTTTTTCTTTTTTTTTTTTTTGTCTTCAAAATTTCTCGATAAGAAATAGATGCCAAATTACACAAGAAGAAATCTTTTTTTTTTTTAAGCTCAAAATAAGTTAACAAAACGTTAACTATATCCGAAAATTAAAAAAAAAATTAAATGGATCAAATAAAGAGAAACAATTTCAGAATTTTGAAATCTCGTATTCTCGTTTTTCCCATCAATTCCCAATTCGATTCAAAATTTTACTATTTAAGATTAAAAAGTATAGATAATAATCACCTTTTCATTAGAATTTGAGAGAAGCCGCAAGAGATTAAGAAAGGCGCCGGCGTCAAGCACAGCTTGTACTCCGGCATCGAAGCCACAAGCGAAGCTACCGAGAACCGTGGCTGACTGGACCAGAATGTTGTTAACATTGTTGTTGTCGCAGTTGCTGTCCATGACGTCATCGGCAGAATCGGCTAGGATGCCGGCGACAGCGGGGACGGCGCCTAGCTTGAGGAAGGAAAGCTTCTTGGTACGATTCCCTATTATTTGGTTTTTAACCTCGCGAAGGGCCCTGACCTTCACCTCTGGCTCGTCGGAGGCCAACCGCGAGAGGAGCTCGATCGGCCGGCGGCTGTTGACAGTGGCGCTTGGCATCACGGTGAAAGTGGCAGTGGCAGTGGCGGTGACGAGTCCCACGGAAGTATATAATTTATTGTAGGAGAATATTTGGAGGATTTTGATTGCTATTTTTTTTTAGTTTTGTTAAGGTCAATTTAATTTCAACCGAAGTTTCAATTTCTTATTTTTAGTAACATTGAGTTTAGAAGGGAAAAAAATGGTTTCGTGTTTTTCATCTATTTACTCGTATATTGATAGGATCGAGCTTTAAATTTTGTTATTGCTACATTTGTTAATTTTGTTTGAATATACATTTAAAATTTTGGTAATTTATATTATGTTTATTTTTTATTAAATTCATATAAAATATAAAAATTATTATATTATAATTCGTATCAATTACTAAATAAATTTATATTTGATATATAGTTAGTATATAAATTTTATATATCGTCAATAAATCAAATGAGGACATTTTATAAAATAAATCATATTATGATATTTTATTAATAAATAATTTTTTTTAAAAATTTTAATTTTATATATATTTTAATAACTGATATTTACTTATTTATGAGATATCATTATTAAATTTATTGATAATATATAAGAGCTTTATATTGACAATACATCAATTTTATGAATGAAATTTTCATTTTAGAGAAATGACAAAATTTTTTAAATTTCATTTCCATTTATTTTTTAGTTTAATCTAATTAAACTTAATGTTATAATTTTATAAGTAAAAGACTACATATATGATTTTATTCGTATCTTATGTGAATTTTTTTTTTTTTTGAAAATATCTTATTGTTGATTCAATTGTAAATAAAAAAATTAACATATTTAATTAGAGGCTTAATTTACATATACATATATTTGTTCGAAAAGTTTTTAAATGACACCATTAATTTTTAACATCAAATAGTTTTATGTTCGAGAATATGAAATTTGAATTTAGAATTGATTTTATTCTATATGCGTTTGGATTTAAGAAAGTAATAAAAGAACAAATTTAAAGTTCATTTTCTTATTTATATATTTAAAATTCATTGTTAAACATAAATCTAAATACGTTTAAGATTTTTACATAGAATATTATTAATTACAAATCATATTTTCATGAGTTTTATTGTTCAATTTGTATTACATTAGAATTTCAAATATTTTCTTGTAAATATAATTTTCAAACGCAAATTATATTTTATGGTCATTTGAATTTGATATTAATGTGTAATCGAAACTATCCTCTATTGGTATATTCAAATTTTCATAATAATATTCTTTTGTATAATTACCCTAATTTATATATATGCTCATTAAAGATTAAATAATTTGTTTAAGTAAATTATTTTAAATAAAAATAGAATATGAAAAGTCAATATATTTTTATAAGTAAACTTCATAAAATATAAAATGTGATTAAGATTAAAATAAAAGTGCTCCCAGAAGTTTAAAATGTGACACTTAATCATTCTATACAACTATTTTGTTATCACATGCTTAACATCGTTAGAAGCAAAATGACCAAATTATCATGTGTATAACACAAGCCACAAACAAGAAATAGAAGCAATCGAATAGTTAACAAAAAAATTGAACAAAACTTTCTTCAATCAATTTGATTTTCATAGAAAAAACTTTTCATCCAACAATCAATCCTCAAAATCAGTCGATTATTAGTAAGAAAGGTGTTTGAGCTTGTGATTGAGATCAAGATTTAGGTTTGAAGGTGAAATTGTTTTCAGGTTTGGAGGAAGTGAAATTTAGGCATGTTTTGGAGGTGTTTTGTTGATTCAATAATCAAATAAGGTATGTACAATTCTCTCTTTAATTTCGATACAATTGGTTTTAGATTAATATTAGGGTTAACAAGTTTTATTCAAAACATTTGGGCATTTTTTATACTAAATCTCATATCAAAATCAATTGAAAGTTTTTAAAATTTTGAAATGTTATTAACTTTATATTAGAATCAATTTGTTATACTTCATATCAAAATCAATCATAATTTCACTAAAAAATCAAATTTTTACTTTGCTACAAATGTGGAATGCCAGCAAAACTATTGAGTTTTACCATGATGTGTCATTTATGCATATTCGTAACAAAGTTTGGGCAGGAGGTAATGTAACATGGGTGGATGATTATCTTTTACATAGATTATCATTTTTTCAATTGTAAGATTGGATTATTAAATTGGGGTATGAGAGTACTAGTGACATGTTTTATTGTATTTCTAGGCTATCACTTGATGAAGGGTTGAAGTGTAATCATTCATATATACAAGTTGAACATATGATTCTGTGTCATCAAAAGAAAAGAACCATTCCAATAGATGTTGTACTAGGTAAGCCTCCTTTTTTTGTTATATATCCATGTATACTATCTAAGAATGAAAAGAAACTATAAACAGGGAGATTTACTCAAGAATTTGTAGTTGAAGATAAAATTACATAAAACAATGATGGAAATGACATTGCTAATTCGATAGGAAACAATAGTGAAAATGATACTACTAATTTGATAGAAAACGTTAGTGATAATGAGGTTGATTATGATACTTGTAATGAGACAGAAAATAATAATGCAAATAAGATTGATGATGGTACTGCTAATTTGACAAAAGATAGTAGTACAAATGATGCTAAAAATGATGCTTTAAATATTGGTGAAGATACTAAAAATAATGAAGAGAAATATGGTGAAGACAGTGATAAGGATGATAGTGACTATTATGCAAGTAGTGAATATGACAGTAATAAATGTTTTAATAGTGATCCTAGTTGCTTTGATGAAAAAATAGAGGGTGATGATACATTTAAGGATAATGAAGTTGGTGGTCCTCAGAAAACAGAAAGGCCTAGTACTATACAACCTACTATAGGAAGGTTAACCAAAAATATTATTTTAAAAAAAGATGTAGTGATGGATGATAGTGATTTACATAGTGTTCATGGATCTGATAAAAAAGTAGACTATCACTCAATGTTTAATAAAAAGGTTGATATGAAGAATCAGTAGTTAAAGGTTGAATTAAAGTTTATTAATGGCACTATTTATAGAAAAGCATTGAAGAAGTATTGTGTTCATAGAGCTTATGATTATAAGTTTAGAAGGAATGATAAAGATAAAATTAATGTTGTTTATGTCAATGACTGTGGATGGAAAATATATGCATCTAGGTTGAGAGAGGATTGTGCCTTTCAAATAAAGACTTTTCAACCAAAGCATAATTACTCAAGAGAGTTTAAAATTCACCAAGTCATTACACCTTATTTGGCTGAGAAGTTTTTTGATGATTTAAAGGATAACTCGAATCAAAAAAACTACAAAGATAGTGAGAAATATTTTCAAAGAATTAAAGATTGAAGTTAGTTTCCCTCAAGTAAATAAAGCTTAAAAGAAAAGCTAGAGAAATTATGGAAGGAGATAACAAATTACAATTTCAAAGTTGTTTGATTATTGTGATATGATTCGAGAGACCAATCCTGGCAGCTTTACAATTATGAAAATAAAATGTCAGTATTTTAATGCTGCCACTGGTGTTCCTTGATGCTTTATTCCTAGGTTTAAAAAGAAATTCACTATGTTCGATATATAGAAAGAAGGATTTATAGCTAGATGTAGAAGGTTTATAGGATTGGATGGTTGTCACTTAAAAGGCCATTTCAAAAAGACAGTTACTAAATGTTGTTGCTAAAGATGGGAATAACAATATTTTTCCTCTTTGTTATATAGTTGTTGAATAAAAAAATAAAAAAAACTTGGTTTTGGTTCTTAAATTTGCTACATAAAAAACTTAAGAGTTTCACTAAACTAGGATTAGAGTTTATATATGACCAACAAAAGGTATTAATTATCATTGTATTTAGTTTTTTTATATAGTGTTTATATCTAATCAACAAAAGGTATTAATCTATTAAGCTTTTTTTAGGGGGTTTAGACCTAATATTTGAATAAGTGTACCCTCAAGTTAAGCATAGGTTCTATTTGAGATATTTGCATACAAATTTCAAATTTCACTTTAAGGGAGAAGCATATAAAAATGCTTTTTGAAAGGTAGCAAGTGAAGGGTTAGTGAAAGAATTAAAGAAAGCTATGTTGGTGCTAAAAGAGCTTGACAAAACAAAGGCAGCACATACTTGAGTGAGTAGATTAAATCTAAAAACTTGGGCAATATCTCATTTTAGCTCTGAATGAAGACTGATTTAATGGAGTATAATCTTAGTGAATCTTTCAATGCTTATATATTGAAAGCTAAAAATTTACCTATCCTTGGCATGTTAGAACGGATAAGAAAAAGATTGGTGAAAAGGTTTCATTCTAAAAGGTTTGGTTTGGATCTTACAATGGTTTTTTATGTCTAGATATTTAAGATAAGCTTGAGCAAATTAAAAAAAAAACTATTTTACTTGCTTTTCTATTCCTATTGGTAAGTTTTTACATGAAGTTAAATATGGTATAACCACTCGAGTTGTGAACTTGGCTGAATAGAGTTATACTTGTAAGGTTTAGGATTTGACTAAAATCCTCTATAAACATGTTGTTTCTGCTATTTACAGTAATAAGGAAAGACCATAATCTTATGTCTATTCATGCTATTCTAAAGAGACATACATGACTACATATAATGCCATTATTAATCTTATTCCAGGACAACATGAATGGACTATATGTAGTAATCCTATTATTGCCCTTCCAATCATATATAGACCACCAAGTAGACCAAGAAAATTAAGAAAGAGAGCATTTGATGAACCATAAAATCATTACAAAATGTCATGAAAGAACAAACTAATTAGATATGATAACTATGGTCAAGTTGGACATAATGTTAGATATTGCAAGATATCAGTGGTAAGAGAGACCCCATGGTAAAAAAGATGAGGTTGAAGTGATTAAACAAAGTTCTTCCTTAGTTTACCAATCCTCAAGTAATTTGCTTATTTAATTTAAAATAATCTTTATCTATTAAATTTAACATGAATAAGGTGTATTTAACAGGTGTATCCAGAGAAAGATCTGGCATTAATGCTACTGCTAGAATTAAGTTATAGTCAAGTATTGCTAGAGAAATGGATACTGGTAAAAGTTCAAGAAGAAGTTCATCTAGTATTGTTTGTCAATCTACTTGAAATGTTGGACAAAGAGGTGCTGAAAATATTAGCAGAG